TTGGATTTGAAATTTGAAATCTTGAATCCAATTGAGAAATTAATCTTTTAAATGCTGGATTTAAAATAACAGTAAGTGGCTGAGAGTCACATATAATCCAATCTGCAAGATACTGATATAATTCAAGCTGACGCGATTCTTGATGATGAGTTTTTTTGGAAAATGCTTTTACAATGTTCTGATTTCGATTTGCATCCTTTTTTTTAAAAAAAAAACTTTTAATTATTATATTTATAAAATTAATTAACGTTAATTATTGAAAATACACTTACAACATCAGCTTCCTCTTGCTTCTTAGTTATTCCATGAATATTTGCAAGATGTTCAGAGCAATTACTAGTGAATGTACCAACCTTATAGGTTTTTTTACATTTCTTTCCAACTATTACTTCTATTTGACAAACTGCATACCTTACTCCCTCTTTAAAACCAGGTTCAAAGTATTTCCAGATCCAACTTCTAACTTTACTTTCTCCACGGGTTTCATTTAGCTTAACCTTTTTATGGTTTGGTTGCTTTAGTTCAGTGTCACTATTATCATTATGAGGTTCTTCTACTTCATTAACCATTGTTTTTATTGGTTCAATGTGTTTAACAATATGAAAGAATTTTGCATTTATTCTACATTCTTCATATAGTAACTAACTACAATTAAATTTACATTTCAGGAAATTTTTATACAACATATACAGTACAGTCAGTACTATAGCATATATATTACTATTCATCGGATCAATGGATTATACGGATAATTTAGTGAAAATCCGTTCAAAATTTTTAAATCCGTATATTATTTAATCAAAAATAATCATATCTGTACTGTAATTTAATCCAAATTTTGATCAGATGACTGGATTTCGAATGAACAGATCGTACCCTTAATCTTATATCAAATAGTTTTTTTAGATAAAATTGAAGTAATATGAAAAGTTTTATATAGTAATTAGTCTAAAATAAAGTGAAGAACTATATATATATAAGGTCTAAAGTTACACATATATTTGTCTATCTTCTCGCTCAATAATTAAGTCAATACTAATTAGCCTTTGCAATTACATAAAAGTCTAAAAGCAAATACTATGAATCATTCTAGACTTAATAATGATTTCTGTTTTCTAGTAATATTGAACTCACTTAATTACTTATTGTAAGCTGATTAGTTAAATACATATTTATACTCATCCAGTAAAATTTATTTTTTGAAGTTTGAAAACTTATGAAGATAAATATTTATTTCAGATAGAAATATTTCCTTGTAAATAATTAAATTCTTGTTCAAATAATAATTTATCTAAAACTTTAATAGGAATATTAAAACTTTCATTTTAAAATATTATTATTATTTTTTAAAAAAAAAGATTTATTTAAATAAATTCTATTATTAAATAGTATGTTAAAATTTATATTATAAATAGTTATATCAAAATTAGATCTGATATATATACTATTTAATTTTTTTATAGCTTCTTATTCTTGAACACAAAAAATTTAGTATAATAATTTATTGCATATTCTTCTATCTCAATTATAATATTTAAAGAAAATATAAATATCATATAAAAGATAATATGGTAAAGTTATTATTCTTTAGCTTATTTTTACTAAATAAGCTTTCTATTAATATCTATTAAATTTTTATAATATTGAAATAAATAGAAGAATTTCTTTTATCTCTTGATGTTATTAGAATTTCTATAGCATTATATTTATATGTAAAGTAATATAAATGGATTATATACTTGAAAAAGAAATAAAAAATTTTTACAAACGTTTAAAAAAAGTTTTAAAATAAATTTTTTCAGAAATATTAAATAGAAAAGAAACTTTAAAGCTTTTATATTTTAAAAACTAATTTTTGATTATATTTTTTTACAACTAAATTTAAAGATTATATTCACTTTTAAAAATACTACTAATATAAAAATAAGATATATAGATACAAATACAAATTTATAAGTTTTGAATAAAGATAGTTAATGATTTTATTTAGTTCTATTCAGTCTAGTCTAAAGCTGATCCTGATCTAGTAGGATAGAATGTGATCTCTGATGTAATAAGAATGATAATAAAAATATTAAAAATGATCAGTTCTACATTTTTATCTTATATATAAATATAATTTTCTTCTTTTTTATAGATTTTTTTAATAACTGATTATAGTAAGCTTGTTTTATTTTTTTATTTTTTTTTTTATTTTCTTTACTTTATTACTTCAAAATTCTTATATTTTACTTTTTATTTTTTTAAATTTTATTCATTTATTTTTTTAATTTTATCTTCTTAGATAATACAATTAAATCATTTTATTACACTTTCTTTTGTCTGCTTTATTTTTATTTTTTATTTATTTCTTTAATATTTATAATATTTTACTTTCTTATTTTTAAATCAATCTTTTGGCAGTTCTGATTTCTAAATGGTTATGATAAGCTTATTTTATTATTTCTTTCATTTTTTATTATATTTTTTTAACGATTTTAATATTTTCATCATTTTTATTTTTTACTATTATTCTTTCTTTTTAGGTAAATCTCAACTTTTTTATTTTTTATTATATTTATTTATTTCTGTTTTTAGAAAAATTTTAAGACTTTAAACTCTAAAAAAACTTTAATTTTCTTAATGTATATTTTTTCATTTCTTTATTTAACCATTATTAACCCTTTTTTTATTCAAAAATAGTCAGAATTTTATAATATTTATGATGATATATTAATAATTTAAAAGGTAATGATTTAATTTTTATAATTATAATAAATGTAATAAATAAAATTAAAATAATTAATAAATTAAAAATAATAAAAATAATAATTATACTAAAAATAATAAATATAAAAATTATATTAAAAAATAAATATAATAAAATTCAATATATTTAGTGTAACACATATTTTAATATATTTAATATAAGTATTATTTCAATATTTTTAATATTATTCTGCAGATATTGTGTTATTTATAAATACTAAATTTTCTCATAATAATAATAAATATTATATATAATATATCAAATTATCTAATTAACAATTAAATAGGTATTATTTATTTAATTAAGATTTATTAATAAATATGATTTAATTGATTATTTTATTTTATTTTTATTTTGTTTTATTTTATAATAGCTACTTAATATAATTTTTTTCTAATAGTAAAATGTAAAGAATATGTTTTTCTAAATTTTTATTGAAGATAGATCTATTATTAATTTTGAAAATCAACTTATTAATGAAATAGATAAAACAATAAGAAATATAAGGAATACAAATTACATTTAGCTATACAACTTCAACAATATAAAATTTTTTTACAAGTAAAAAATAAATTAATAAAAAATAAAATTAAAATGAATAAATTGTAAGATTTTTACTATAAAGTTAAAGAATGATATCTTTTAACAAATAATTTTACATTCACTCTTAAAAGTTATTTAAAAGTAAAATATTATAATAATATTTAAAATTTCACTAACAATTGTATAACTTTAAATAACAAAAGATAATGTTAGTTAATTGAATCATTTTAAAGTAATAAGCTTTTATAATTATTGAAAATTAAAACTTTTAGAAATATATACTTTTAACTCAACTTAAATACAAATTACTATTATGACATATTTTAAAAAAAATAATATTATCAAAATTTCAAACATTTCAAAAAAAAATTTGTGATTATCTTTAGCTATTAATATTTAAAATTTTATTTATAATAAGTATATTAACTTCTATTAATGTATTAGGTAATTTAGCTATAATAATTTATTTAATAATTAATAATTTGAATATTTTAGAGGTATTATATATTTCTTTACTATATAATATAAAAGTAATTAAAATACAATTTTGAAAAAAGCAAATGAATTTTAAATAATAGATTGATTAATTAAAATTATTAGTAATAATAAAACAAAATGATTATAGCAATATGTCAAATTAGAGAAAATCTTGAGTCAACAATTTTTTGTATTATCATTATATAATTCATATTAAAAAATCAGATTCTGAAATTTTTTTGATTAAAAATTAAGATCTTATTATATTTTAATCTAATAATATCAAAAATTAAAATATAATAAAAATCAAAATTTTGTTAAAAATTCTCAGTATCTGATTTTTCTAGCAAATTTTTTATATAATGAAGTTAATTATAGAAGTACCATTTAAAATAAGTATTATACTTAAAATTGCTAAATGAATTTTAGAATTTTTGCAAATTGTCTAAATAAAAAATAATTTAATAAATTATATTAAAACCTTATTAAAAAATCTGCAAAATTCTGAAAAAAATAAAACTATATCAAAGCTTATAAAAATATAAAACTATATCTTAAACTTTTTGCTAAATCTAAAATAAATTTAATCAAGTAACCTAGTTATATCTTAATTTATCAAAAAAATATATAATTTTATTAGTACTATTAAAACTTTTCTAAAAAATAGATAAATTAAAGAAATATTTTTAAAATTAAAACTATTAACTTTAAAGCATCAATTTTTTATATTATAATAAAATAGAATTATATATATTATATTGTTGAAAAAGTATTAAAAATTGAACACATCTAATTTTAAGTACTTCAACATGAATAAATAATTAATCAATAAATAAAGAATAAAAAATTCTTATTGATTTATTAGAATTATTAGTACTATTTACAATGAAAATAAAACTTATATCTGCTTCTAATTATTCAATAATTAGTGAAGTAAAGTAGTTATTTTTATGTATAAAAATTTATGGAAAAGATCTTAAGATGATAATTATAATTTACAAATTTAAATAAATAAAATGAAGTATATGTATAATAAATATTTTATTAATTAATAAGTTATTATATATTCTACTTTTTTTAATTTTAGATATAAGAAAAAGACTTACAAAAATATATTACATAAAGATATATTTCAACTAATTCAAGAAAAAATACAGACTCTCGCCAAATGTTTTTGAATGTAATCTTTTAGCTATTTCATACTGAATATATCATATGATTGTATAATACTGCGGTCATGTAATGTATCTGATCTTGCTTACTTGAAACAAAACCAAATAAAAGTGTGTTTGGTTTGTTTATTTTGATTTTTAACCAAAATAAAATTTACCTTCTGAAAACTATGAAAATGTTCAAAGAATAACATAGTAGTATATATTTACTGTCAACGTAGTGATAGTTACTGGGCTATTGCTGCAAATATCAGTTGATTTTTAACAGCATTTAGAACTTTAAAAAGAATGAATGATACTGGAACCGTTAATTTGAGTCTTCATTCTGGTCGATCATCCTTAATTAAAGATTCGCAGCGAAGCTGGCTAAAGTGATATATCACAGTGAATTCAGGCTGTGATAAAGCAAATAAAAGCTCAATTAAGTACTAATTATTTAGTACCAAATGTGTAGCATATCGTAAATTAATAAATAAATTAATAAATTTTTTTAAAAAACTTTAAAATTTTAAGTTTTACATTAAGCCAAAAAGCGTTCAGAGACTTTTAGCAGAGTTTGTAGTTAATTATAACGAGTTTAATACTCTTACTACTACTACTTCTCAAAATACTACTTTATAATACTAAT